CAATGTGTTATAATATGACGATATTTCTTTTATAGTCGTATTCAGACTTTGATGATCGAGGGGGCATAAAAAAATGTTTAAATTATGGAATCTTTTTTTTTTTTTTAACATACAGAAATAATTATTTTTTTGTTAAAAACCCCTCATTGATAGGAATATTTTTCGACCAAAAAGTTTAACTATTGGCGTTTCAAAACAACAAAAATATATTTAAAAATAAAATAAATACATATACATATTACTACTGCACTCTAATGGTCCTGTCGATACTGAGTACACGCGCACGACTTTTTTTTTTATCTGAACATGATTTCGTTAGAGGTACAGCCCGCCCAAAGGGGTGTAGGGGGAGCAGTCTCTCCCCCATTCAGTCCTTCTCGTAAATATGCTTATGTTTTCTATACTATACGTTGTTTATTTCATTCGTATTATATTTATGCATATAGTCGTATAACATATACATATAGAACACGACCAGTTTCGTTGGTGATAATAAATTATAATACGCTCTCCGCAATAGGGAGCCCGGTGCTATGCAAAACTGTAGATGAATAATATTCAAAATTATAAAAATTATTTTTTCTCCGGTGTTAAGCCTTGAAATTTTCGAAAATAAGCTTCTTGCTCGTATTATATTACATGTTCATGCACGGCATTTTTCGAGGATATTTGATACTTTACCGGTTAGGCGTGTGAACATATGGACGTTTGTTCATGCAGGAGGCATATGAAAACCGCAGGTCGTCGAATAGCATTAGCTTCCATCACGTATTATCATTATTTTCTTCGTTAATGGATCAACGCACCGCCGTGCTGTGCCTCACAAAATATTTATAATTTATAACGTATGTAGTGTATGATTACGTCGTATTAAAATATTATACTCGCCCGCACCCATTTGATTAGATAATTGAGTGAAAATTGATCATCACTTTCACGCTGGTCCGTAATAACTACGCGCCTACAACAATGCAACACACCAAATCTATGTTTGATCAACCGTCCGTTTACATCGTGGACGTATCGTGATTCGTTCTCCGTAAAATTTGGAAAATCGGAGAAAAATGATTATTAATAATTGGTGGTTAGTCGTTATAATAGTATGTGTTTGTGGTCATTACTAAACTTCGAGTGATTAACGGTTTACTTTGTACCAAATTGTTTTTATGGCATTTTTGTTAAAAATACCAATAAGTACACTGTTCAAGTACCTATAATTTTGTATCCATATTGTTCAAATATCAAATATTAGGCCTTGGTTGTTTGGAAAAATATGTTAAGTAAAATATATATAAAAAAATAAAAAAGTGATTATTATCCTTATCCTCCATGATTTTTGTTATTATACATTCGAGGAAGAATGATATGAAACTATAGCTTAATTTAAAATTCTTAACCAACTATGATTATGTTTATAAATATTATTTATTATTTATATTTCATTCACGAAACGTTCACTCTGAAATATTTTTAATGAATAGCCCTTGAAGGTTATGTCATACTTGCTTTAATATTAATTGGTTAAAGTTTATGTGTGTGGATATATTATTTTTGAACATTAGCATTTCCTGTATATAGACGTTTAAAACGAGCTATTACTTGATTCTAATATTTTCTCTTTATCCGCTGTTATCCCTTCAACCATGATTTTTTTCTAACATCAAAATATCACTTTAAAAAAAGTTTCTACTAAAATTATTTTCAAGTTAACTTTATTTTATTTAGGCACCAAATATTTAAAAAGTCATTGGGTTGGGGCTTATATTTTCTACATAACATTTAGTTATGGCCTGGACATTCTTAAATTTTGTCTTGAACCATGTATTTGTTTTACAAATAGCTTAAAATTATTTTTATTTTTATAATTTTTATTCTATTATTTATTTATTTATTTATTTTTAATTGCACCATAATAATGTTAGATGTACTGCAAGTGTTTGTTTATTTTATAAATATTAATTTTTTTCTTTCATAACTTTTACTGCAGTGCGTATAATTCATTCAACTTATTATTAAATATTCACATAATTTGATAATTAACCATAATATAATCGTATACGTTTTTAAGTTTCTCTTATCCTCTAAATATCTGAAATAATCTTATAAAAATGTTGATCACGCACTGTGATGTCGCGTCGATGATCCAATATCGTCAAATCTAGTCATCATTAAGACGATACCTCGTGATTTATAGAAACTCGTAAGCTAACACTACTTGCAATGTTGCCCCGACCGGTTTTAAAATATACAGCTGGTGTATGATGTTTTTTTTTTATTATTATTTTTAATTAAAATTAAATACCATGTACATCGCCGACCGTTTAAATGGATTATAAAATATACCTTGCAGATAACCATAACCACCATTTATAATCCCTAATTATCCGATATTATAATATTATAATTTTTTTTTTCAGTTGACCCAATTGTTAAAAAATGTATGTTCGCAAAATATTATGTATGAAAATTATTACTTTGATTTTTACCATTTATGTCTATATATACGTATATGTAATATTTTATATTTGGTGGTAACTATTATTATATCTTAAAGTCTATCATATACCTTAATTTATAAAAATAGATTTATTCATTGTATAAACGATTTTTCATTCTACACCATATTGTTGGATCAGGCTTTTCTGATACATACGCTATATGATGTTAGTAATGTTCTAACTATACAGTGCGTAATTAATTACAAGTGATATAAAAATTCAAAGTACTATCACGCTAGTTGCACTTTCTACTACTTGTGTTTGATTTTTGATATTCCCTAAAAAATTCATTTTGGCCCCCTTGGAGCTCGACCCGTCAGAAAATTGTATAACTCCACACATTCAGGAGAAATATGATAAATTTCCTGTGCTCTCAGGTAACTAAATCATAATATGTTAATGAATCTTTAGATCTCTTCGTTCGAATACATACCTGTAGAGTCGCGGTGTTGTGATTCTTATATCTTATTTGGTAATTTATAACTGTGTATTTGCACCATCGAAACAATGTTTCTCTTTTTCTCTGCGTTTTGAATTATTGATTTCCATTATTATAAATTTAAGGTAATAAAATTTTCTTCCACGTATCATATACTTATAAAAATAAAAATCGATATTAATAATCAAACCATATATATATATATATATATATATATCGTTGATTTGATCTCTATATAGCGTTGGATTTCAATAGTCCTAACCATATGTACTATATTATAGTTGTTCAATTCTATTCCATTCTGATTCCTTTCTTGTAAATTCATTATAAATTAAATCAATAATTAAATCAATGCGTTACTTTAGCTAAATATTTTTGGATAGAAAGTATTTTTTATTCGTATATCCGTTTCTAAATCAACGAATTTGATAGGGTGCAATTTCAACTTTATTCTAGTGATATATTTTTTTGTAGTATTTTTATTTTTGTAACTAAGCTATTATTTAGGAATTTAAAATTATGGAATGATTATGCTGTTGTATTATAAATTATGTATTATTTTACTTTTGTATAGATACCACCATATAGAGGATTTCCTTCCCTTTTTCGTTTCGGTCTAAAGTCACAACATTAACATTGTCTTTATTATTTACTATAATTTACTTTATTATTTACTATAATCACTATGGTTGACAAGGAAATTTGAATCACATAATATATAATATTAATAATAGTATATTACAATTAAAAATAAAATATAATATGTGTACCTTTAATATAATTTGTTTTTTGATGCAAAAATCATATTTTGTAATTTATAATAAATAAATGTAAAAAAGAAATTATTTGATTTTTTTATAAAGTATTCCAAATAATTAATACTCTTTTAGTTAATTTTATTCTATAACGTATTAATTATTATTTATATTTATAACATTTTCTATTATACAAGTCAAATATTGCTATACTGATAAACATAATTAAAAATATTTTAATATAAACTTGATTTGAATCGTGTCAGACAAAAAATATTTAATCAAATTTCACTTTTAAGTATTTACTACTGACGTGTTTACCACTTAAAAATACTGCAGTTCATAATTTGTTTTTAATTAAATAATACTATGAATAATTACATTTTATTTGCATAAGAATACTTAAAAATGTTGTAAAACACAAGAGATACATAATAAACATTATTAAAGATCTAATACTACAGTATATAAATTCTTCCGTAAAATATTAAGCTTGTATAATAATATAAACATAATATATATTATTAATATTTAATAATATTAATTTTAAAACAAGTTGTTTTATATTTATACACGTATAATGTATAGCTGAATAATTATATAAAAGAAAGTCTACTGTGTTTGATCAGCATAATATTTAAAATACTGATTCCTAGCTTGGTTTACATATGGTTTTTATATTTTGTAGATATCTCGAATAAGGATAAAGTATTAATTTATTTTAATATATAAAGGTGGCTGTGGTAAGGAGGGGTGTTAATCGTATTTAATGTACCACTTTCTTGACGAAACATTTTGAAAATTGCATTTTCTTCATTTTTGTATTATTGTATATTATATATTATATTATATTATACTTATATTATTGTATATTGTACTAAATACTCCCTCCGAGTTCCTCGAATTTGCTTTATATTAATGTCGTCATGAGGAGGTGCATATATTTTGAATCTTCCTCTTTTACAGTTAGTCAAATTTATCCCCATAGCTGTTTTTCTTCTAGTTTAAAATTGTGGAACTTATTTCTTATTTTTTTTCTAACATACAATACTTAGATAAATTCAACTGCGTTATGATTTGGTTACACTAAAAAACGATGCGTATTCTATATCTTACCTTATCTTCGAAATATCGGTTTAACCAGTAAAATTCTGTACACCGATTTCGTATATTTATAAAATAAATCGTTAGCACTGGTGGTAAGAATATAACTTATTTATTGAATGTAAAAATGTATTCCATGCATACTGTTTATTATTGTGTAATAATTTAATAATACCTATTATAATATGTGGTTATTTTCTCCAGGTGATCGCTTGCGAACAACAGCGAGATTCGTCTTACGACAGTCGATGTGATGTATGGTCATTAGGCATAACGGCCATTGAATTAGCTACCGGAGATCCTCCGCTTAGTGGATTGCATCCAATGAGGGCTTTATTTCAAATACCGCGGGAACCGCCACCTGTCTTACCGTTGTCGGCTCGACCGGATGCACCCAAACTGACGCATTTCGTAGCAAGATGCCTTGTAAAAGATTTCGAACAGCGGCCGACCACTGCCATACTAATACACGACCCATTCATCGTCCACGGGTCCAAGTGTATCCACAGAGTGCGTATATTATTCATCTCATCTATACTCGGTATACTGTGCAGGTCACATTTTAACATGCGTGCGAATATTGAAAGTATACTGATTTCTTTCTAACACCTGTCTAATCCCCTACAGCTAACGTGTGTCATCTAAAACTAGATTTGGTGAAAGTCCATGTTTTAATAATTTTAAGATTTTCTTAAAATAAAATAATTTAAATACTTATCATAAGCCCGGGTATTAAATTCTCTGAATGTTGTGCGAGTAAAACTAACAGTTTTATCGATTTAAAAAAAAAAAAAATATTAAGAGAAAATATTTTTTTAAGACTTAAAATACTTTATGTCAATGAAAGGGACGGAAGATATTTATAAAAAAAAAACACAACTATAAATATTCCTCGTTTGTGCCAATTGTCTATGCGTTAAAACGTTTTCATAAATGGACCATTACTGTTTCTACACATATATTTTATAAATATTTCTTTCCGACAAACAAATACTTGGTCAGTCGATTTGAAGTATTCATCAATTATAAGAAAGTAATATAATAAATTATACTTTCCCCATGTGTTATTTTGTACGCGGTATTCGACATTTTTTTACATTATTTGTATAATAATATTATTTTATCGGAAAATTGTTCAGGTACGCGAAGAACTGAAAGCCGAAATACGCTACCAAAGAGAAGTCAGTGGTAGAGTGCAAAAACATCCTGACGTAACCACCAAGCATGGTAAACTCAAAAGTAAACGGAAAAATCCACCCACTACCATATACGTTGATGACTTGGCAGCACTCGACAGTCTTTCAGAGGTATATAAACAGTGAACACAAGCTATTCATTTTATTTGTGTTTTTTTTTTTATTATTTTCGCTTTGCGAATTATGTGATCATTTATTATTTATCATGTATATCATTTAGGAGAGAATAGTAAACCAACTGAAAAAAAGATATCAAATGAACTTGATTTATACGTATATCGGGGATATTCTTTTGGCCATAAATCCGTTCACGTCGCTTCCCTTGTACACGTCAGCGGTGAGTTGTTATCATAATAATGATAATCATCATAACAATATCGCGTGTTCTGTAGCGCTAATGATGATAATAATATTAATAATAATAATAATAATAATAAAACATCACCTTTGCAGGAGCAAAAGAAATACTGCAATCAAATGAGAGCCACGTGTCCCCCACACATATTCGCGATTGCAGATTCTGCATATCAGTTCATGTTACACGAAAAAGCCAATCAATCCATAGTGATTAGTGGCGAAAGTGGTGCCGGCAAAACTGAATCCGGTAACCTGTTGCTGAAACAACTCGTTTACCTCGGCAAGGTAAATCGATATCCGTTAAACAGTATAATTATATTGCGTGCAATGACGTGGTGAAGGGTTTTTAAATTTTTAATACACATATTTTCATATTTTTATGTGTTGCGATTGAAATTTGAATCAATTTATTTTACATAGTATCAAAGGCACCTCAAGAAATTTTGTCAGGGGTGCATCGTACATAGTATATACGCTGATTCCTAAAAAATGCTTTGTTTTAAATACCGTCGGCAATGATGCCGAACTATATTTCAAGAAGAGTGGCGGTATATTTTTTTATTAATGCTAAAGTTTAGTATAATATATAATATACCTATGAACTTACTGTAAGACAGAATACCATATAATTTTACGCCACAGAACTAATTATAAACATATAAAAAAAATCCCATAATTCAAGAACATCCACCTCTTCAAACAAGAGTGGCGACCGCTACCCTTGAAAGGCAGGATCGGCGCCACTGTACGTGGGAATATGTTTTCAAATTGTATGACATTAGAAGTTATTTTAGTTTTATTCGACGACTACAAAGTAATATGGTCTATCAGAAAATCTAATAGTGATAACAGTAGCTTCCATCCTACATTTTAAAATTTTTTTTTTTCAAAATAACCAGGAGGTGCAGTGCACTCCTTACACCCCTTCACGGCACCCATGCATAGTAATAATAATAATCTTCTTATAATGTACTGATTTAAATATTTATTTATTCTCAAAATCCCAAAACCTACAATTATATGTACACTTCCCATAGATTTTAATCCTCCATAATTTAAATGTTAGTTAAACACTCTTGATTTGAAAACTAATACATAATTAAAAGGTCTTGTTTTTAGAATACCTGTAGGTAATTCGAATGCAAAAAAGTCACCTATCTATATTTAGTTAGTTGCAGTTCGTGTTCACCGATATTATATTATATTAGCTCTTTAACATCAAGTCAAAAAATATGATAATTTTTAATCTAGGCGCGTACTGTTCATACGCGCCTATTATTTTTACTAATCGATTTTTCACATACCTTAAATTGAGTCGAGTTCGTAATATTTTATGAACCTACAGGCACCGAACAGAAATCTGGAACAGCGAATACTTCAGATGAACCCGATCATGGAAGCATTCGGAAACGCTAGAACCGGCATCAATAACAATTCTTCGAGATTTGGAAAATTTTTAGAATTGAGTATGACCAAAAGCGGACAATTGACAGGCGCCAGGGTGTCGGTTTACTTACTTGAACAGTCAAGAGTCATTCAGCAAGCCAAGTAAATATTTCATTTTGTTTTTCTAACATACTTCAACACAAATATTGTTTTTAACCCGTTGTGATTTGTTAACCAGTGGAGAGAGTAATTTCCATGCATTTTACTACATTTACGATGGACTGGAACACGACAAAAGACTTAAAGAGTTTCATTTGGATCGTGAACTTCGGCAAATGCATAGTTATCTTCCGTCCGATCGTCAGGACAGCAAAACAAAACAAGTAAGGATTTATTTATACTTATTTTTTATTATGCTTAACATTTCATGTTAATGTGTATTATTTATAAAATATATTTACATTTATTTTTAGAGCAACATCGATAAGTTTGCTCAACTCAAAAATGCTTTTGAACAAGTCGGTTTCAAAGACGATGAAGTTAATTCTATATACTGCATTTTAGCAGCCATATTACATCTGGGTGATATAGAGTTTGGAGAAATCATAACTGACAATAATACAGATAATAAGAGTACAGTCATCGATCTGACTCCAATCTATCGAAGTAATTAATATTTAACGTTCTTGTTTTTAAAATATAATTGTTTCCAACCCGATGTATTATTTTATAGCCTCGTGTTTATTAGACATCGAAAGTTCTGATCTTTTAGAATGTCTAAGCGTCAATAGTGTAGTGACAAGAGGTGAAATTATTCAAAGAAATAATTCTGTATCTGAAGCTGTTGCCACCAGAGATGCTATTGCCCGGGCTTTGTACAGCCGATTATTTGATTGGTTGGTTAATTCTATTAACAGCCTATTGTCTTTTTACAATGCCCGGTAATAAATTATCTCATTATTGTTGACGACATTAAATTTAGTACATTATTATACTTTTTTTCAGTGGTGATTACAATGTTATTGGAATACTCGATATTTTTGGTTTTGAAAATTTTACACACAATTCCTTTGAACAATTATGCATAAATATTGCAAATGAGCAACTTCAATATTTTTTCAACCAGCATGTTTTTGCATTAGAACAAGCTGTAAGTAAATTCTAAGAATAATTGAAATGTTATTTTAGAAATTTTTACAATACCATATTATATGTAATTAGGAATATGAATCGGAAGGTGTCCCTGTACAACATGTTGGTTTTTGTGACAATAGACCTGTATTAGATATGCTTGTGAGTAGGCCAATGGGTCTACTGGCATTACTCGATGAAGAAAGTCGTTTTCCCAGAGCTACTGATCGGTCCCTGGTTGGTAAGTTTTATTTTATTTGGTTTGTGACCCAATCAAAATATTCTTATTGATTTATAGAAAAATTTCATTGCAACATTAAATGTAATTACTATGTACGGCCAAAATCTAATGCTTTACAATTTGAAGTAAAACATTTTGCTGGCAATGTCACTTACCAGGCTTCAGGAATGCTTGAGAAAAATAGACACCTGTTAGCTATAGAAGCTATTCAGGTTTTAAGGAAGTCCAGTAACAAAACCGTCCGAGCATTATTTCAAAGTCCGGTGACCAAAACTGGCAATCTATACTCTCAAGTAAATATAATAATGTTATAAAAGTTTTTCACTTTTTAGTTGGTTATTAAAATAGTATTAAAAATAATATATTTGAATTTAGGACTCATCTTCAGGTTTAATTGGACTGGCTTCACAATCTCGTGGTCAGCAAACTGCAGCAACATACTTTAGACATTCATTAGCCGAGCTGTTGAATCGTATGGGCTGTAACAATTCAGGTATAAGTTTACCTAGATTTGTGCGTTGCATCAAACCCAACGATCAACGGCAACCAAAACAATTTGATCCGCTCAAAGTTGTTGCACAATTACGCTGCAGTGGAGTTATGGAAACTATTAGAATTAGACGAAATGGTTACTCACATAGACTGTTGTTCAAAGATTTTATAAGCCGGTACAATATTTCTTTTAATTATAACTTAAATAATATTCTTTATTAACACAATTATATCACATTGTATATGGTTTAATACAATGTTTGATTCCTTATTAACTTGATATTGTATTAGTATATTATTAATTGTACAGTGATTATGTTGAAATATTACCAAAATAATATTTATTCAATTTCAGGTATGCAATTTTAGGATGCCGATTATATGAGAAAGTTCCTCCAACCAGGGATAATTGTAGACATTTGTTAGTCAAATTAAAACTGGATGGTTGGGCTATCGGAAAGACCAAAGTGTTCTTGAAATACTATCATATAGAACACTTGACTAAATTACATGAAAAACAAGTAAGGACATAAAACTGTACATTTTTTACATTTTCATGTATTTGTTTTTTATTTTATAAATGAATTCTTTATTTTTAGCTACGTCAAATAATAATCGTACAAAGTTGCGTTCGACGTTGGCTGGCATTAAAGCATTATCGAGAAGCTATGTTGGCTAAACAATTGTCATGGGGAGCGTTAACATTGCAGAAACATGCAAGAGGATGGCTTGCTAGACAAAAGAAAAAAAAGTCAAAAGGAGAAATACCTGTTGGAGAAGTGGCACCAATATATAGGCAACAACCTAAAGAAAATATTATTCCCGTTAAAAGTCAAAACAAAATTAGTCCTGTTGTTGTAGCAGAAAACAAGAAGACTTATATCCAAGTATATAATGAAAATATTGCAAATTTTGGATTCATTTACGATAAAAATATCTCTTTTTCTTTTAGCAAAACGGTGTTAAGGTATTGCCATGTAAAATGCAGCAAAAAGTAGAAAGAGAGAAGCATTTGATTGACTTTGCAAAGAATGTAAGTAATTTTCGATAAACATTGTGATGGTTACAGTTTTATTATACTATTCATTGTTTTTGTATACATTTCGTGAATAATATAAAAAAAGGTTCACAATCGCAACAAAGAATTCTACAAGGTCATTAGGAAAACAAACATTACTGTTTGTTTGAAAGACATTAAAACAACTGGTCAGGTATGCCTTTGTAACAATTTGATTACTCCATTATTGTTGTTGATGCATGTTGTTTAATATGCGTACAACTAGAAAATCTTATGCCCTTAGTAGTTATATAAAATATATAATTTTTTTTTTTTTTAAGAATACCATGTAATATCAATAGTTGGTAGGGTAGGTACCCAATTCAGAAATCTGAAGTTATTTTAGTGTTTTTAAATACTAAGATACATATTAGTTATTACATTTTTTTATTTAGATAATTTGCTTTAAGATCAGTGATGCGTGGACTACAGCCCTCCTACCAAAACTTAAAAAAAAACTGTAAATTACCCCTACTCTTATACACCATATTAATATATTTTAGATTTTGAGCAAAGTTGGATTTACTGTAACATGTCTTTTTTTTTTATATGCAATACTATTGTGAGTTAAGTATGTTGTATGCAGTATACTATGTATAACATGGAATATTTTTGGGGGCTAAATCTTGTTCCAGGGAAGGGGGCTAAGCCCCCTCCCTTGCTGCACCTATGCTTTAGATGTTGGACTATATGAGCCCTCTTTACGATCAGTATTACCTACTCCTTGTATGAAAACAAATGACAGCTTACAAGGTCGTCCGCAGGAATTTGTTAATGGGAGGCAAGATATTTAAATTTTTTAATTTTTGTTTTATTATCTAATTAGTGACAAAGTAACTTATTGTTTTTGACATGTTTTCTATCATATAGGTAGGGAACGTAAAAAATTTAATTATTAATTATGTGTATAGTTAGAATGTTAGAACTTACAGTATTAATTTTAATTAAGTAATGTGCAATTTTAAATCAACTTATACATTTTTTTTTTTTTATAAATAAAATAAAACCACTCATTTGATAATTTTAGGTGACTTATAAAATTAAATATTTTTAGCTTCTTTAAAATAAATAAAAAACTACCAATTACCAAACCATTTGGTATTCAACAATTTTAAATTAAGAGGGCGCAACAGTGAAAAAATATGTAATACACCCAAAAAGATCTGCATAACGTTTGTCGACTAAGTGTCAACCATGACACTCAAGGTTTCAAAAAAAACAAATGATATTTGATAGTACTGACTTATAAGTGTCGGAGCTAAGAGAAGGAGTGATATGCTTGCTACAGGCACTGTTGGTATAAGGGCGCTCTTAATTTAATAAAAAATAAAAGTAATCATGAACATATCTCGTACTTCATCATATGTAAGGGCGCTACATGTTTATTAGCCCCGGTTATCAAATTTCCTAAATCCAGCACTGCTTATTAGTGATTTTATCATTTTAAATAAAAATATCAAATTTCAATAAAATATAGATAGATAGTAGATGCTTACGGATATATATAAGAATAAAATGTAATTAGAATTTTAATATAGGTATCTTTTAGTTAGTAAAATATATAGTATATATATTATTTAGAAGTATGAAAAGTAAAGGATCCTTTTTATTCTATTGCAAATGAGTCCATCTTTGAGATGAACCGATAATGGTTGTAATAAAAACATGAATCACTAAAAATATGTTTTAGAAAGGATGTTTTATTTTATCCAACTAAATACTAAATAAAAAAACAACTAAAGGAAATTATTTTGTAATTGCACACATTATATTACATTTATACATTTGTAATTTTTCAATATCTATGATTTTAATACCAGTTCTATAGTTATGTAACAATAGTACGTATTAAAAATTTTACTACCTGACCATTAAACAAATTCTAGATTTATAGACATTTTTAATACTATGGTTTGTCTACCTAACAAAAATAATATAGTACATTGTAAATTAATTTATTTTTTTATATTTTATAGAAAGGATTGGTACACAATGCCATTAAAAAACTTGCGACAGAAAATTATTGTAAATATGATTCAGATAATAATAATAGGTAAAAAATGGTGTAAATACAAAACCTAAATTGTTTGTGCTTGAATTATATTATCTTGTAGGTTAAATACGATAACTACGAAAACAAATAATATCCAACCAGAGAATAAACCACAATGGATATCCCCATTAAGGTGAGCTTGTAGTCTGTTGTTTATGGTGATAAGTAAACATACATCTGGATTAAGAAAATTTAAACAATATTTATATAAATATATATTCCTAAATTAGTTTATTTATTTATTACATTTAGATTAACACCTCCAGACATTAATAGACTACCAGAAGGATTTGACTTCAGACAACTATTAAGACCAACTCAGCATGCACCCACCGAATCCCTACGCAAAAGAATTGTCCAAAGATCCAGACCTGTTGCTGCCAATGCCAAAGGATAGTGTTTCAAATTTTAGCAAAATTGGCTATTTTTATAATTAGTATAAGCACTTTTGTAATTGTTGTGTTTGTTAAATATTTTATTTTTATGTTCTTGGAAAAAAATAACCATTTGAGATTTTCTAGTCTCATGGTGGAATATGTTTAGTATTTTTTTTTCTTTCTATAAAGTAGACAATAATTTAAATATTTTTATAGTTCCTCATAAGTTCAATTGAACCAAAAATACGTTTTATACTTATCAAATTAACGGATTTTATATATTTTTAAGGTATTTTATAAGATTTTTTTTTATTGGTATTTTCAACAATGTTCCTTAAGAAACTTAAGTTTCTGAAATTCTTTGAAGGGCCCAGTATAATCATATGATGTGAACCACTTATTTACTTGCATATCATATTATAATATATTATTTACTTACATTTTTAGTATTTTTTTAACTCATTACAATAACCTCTGCATTATATTTAATCATATTCTAAAATTTAAATTTTGATAAAACGTTGGTGTATTGTTGTTGTTAGTGTAATCACTCTATTTTTTTAATGTACCTAAAATTTCATTATTTCATAATGGAAACAGTTTTTATTTTAAAATGTTGTACTATTTATACATATATACAAAGATAATTGTATTGTATATATATATCACCTTTAAACTTGCAATTGAAATTATTGTTAAAATTAAATTGATTATTTTTCATTATAAGCTCTATCTTTTATTTTCATTATTATTAAATGGATACAGTTGTATGATAGTGAAAGTATATGTTGTTGAAATGTTGTCCACATTATTTGTTTTGTTGATTTTTTCAACAAAAAAAATATATTTTTATAATACATTGATAAAAAAATTTGATTAAGTTTGGATCGACAATATTTTTCTCATACATATGAATTATTGAATATTTATAATTTTTTTTTTCATTTTTAACATGAATACCATTAAAATTAAAATTGAACTCATTGAAGTACTACTTTTTGGAATTTCCAATCTTATAATGTACATATATAATTTTACTTATTTTTAAGTTAATTTAGTTTTAAAACTAAATTAAAATACTTATTTTACAATAAAACCTTCACAATGAATAAAATATGATCAATTAATAATAAATGCATACTTAAGTAAATAAAAGTAAAAAAGTAGAATTATTTAAATTTTAAGAATTAATTTTTTTAGCATGATTATTTTGAGTAAGCCTTTTCTCGATTTGAATACTCACTAGTTGTAATTGATGTTGTTGCAGTACAGTCATTAGTTTTGTAGATACCAACTAAAACATTAGCTTTTTCAAACATATTTGATCGCAATGAAATAATTATAAATTGGGAATTCTTTGTACGTTCCTAAAACAAAAATTTAATTTTAAAATATTGAACTTTTTTTAATTTCTAGTTTAAAATTCAGATAAAATAAAGCAAGCAATGGGAAAAAATATATATGTAAGCCAACTGTTAATATGGCAATTTAACAATCCATTCAGCTGAAGATAACCTGTTAATCCATCATTATCATAAGGTATTATTATAGTTATATCAGTTAATGGATTATTTTTTATTTTTATTATTTGTTTAATGTTCAAGATAATTACATTTTTTATATGTTTTGGTAATACTCATAAATGGTTATTCTATTAAAATTTAAATGGAATATAAGTAGGGATGAGCAAGAAAATATATTTAAGATGACAATCAGGAATTAGGAAAAAATAAGTCAAGACTATAAAACTGTTTAAATAAAAATAAATAGATAGATATTCAAACCCAATACAATATTACCAAAACAAACTATAAAATCACTATTAGTAATAATGTAAATATACAATTTATAATTAAACAGTTAAATTTTTAAAAATAAATTAGGAAAATAATAAACAATAAATTAAATTGGTTATAAATTTGATAACATAAAAACATTAAAAACTTGAAATGGTTAATACATTTAATATTAATTAAAACAAATTGATTGATAATAGTGAACAGTGTTTAAAGTAAAATGTTAACAAAATTTCATAATTTTAGAAATTATCTGATTTCTAAATTAAAATTACATTAAATAATGAATTCTATAAAATATGAAATTATGTTTAATATAGTAACAAAATATTTGATTGAAAGCAAGCAAGTACTTTTATGTTGTATACTAAGATACCTGAGATCACAATATAAAATTTATATTTTAGTTTGCAAACTTAATCGCCCTTACTTATAAATAAACAAACTCATATTACAGCTAGGGAAAATTGATTAAATACAATTACCCAATATACTAGAAACAAATGAAAATAATTATGAAATATTTAATTACCTTTATATAATAAGCAATGATGGATACATTTTTGAAATCTAACGCAGCATCAATTTCATCCATAACATACAATGGGGATGGTTTGTAATAGTGAAGAGCAAACACTAAGGCCAAAGATGACAGTGTTTTTTCACCACCAGATAGATTAGTAATTACTTTCCAGGTTTTCTTTGGAGGTCTTACACTAAACAATATTAATAGCAAATTTGTATTAATATGTTTTCATTATTAAACAATCAATATTTGTAACAATTATAACAAACAAACCTAAAATTAACTCCTTCACTAAATGGATCTAATGAATCGACTAGTTCAAGTTCAGCATCCCCACCAAGCGTTATCATTTGATACATTTCTTTTAATTTGATTGTTATTTTTTTGAATGATGCCATAAACTCATCCCGTCTTCGTTGTTTTACTTTATTTGTCATATCAACATGATCATTATATAATTTCAACACTTCAGTTACTTCATTTGCTTTTTCATGGTACTGCTTATTCTTTTAAGTAAAAATAAAAACATAAATAAAATAATATATTTAATTGTAATTAATTTATATGAATATATTACATACCCTTTTATCATATTCATCAAGAACATTAAAATTAGGTTTTTCTATATTTTTTTCAGTATCAGATAACTTGGCATTTTTTAAAGCAGTTTCATCAATACTTTCCATTTGTTCATCAGTATATTGAGGTAATTCTTTATTATCTATATCATTATCATCATCATTTTGATTAATATCATCATGAATTTTTTCTGTATCATCCGTTTTCTGGGATTTGTCATTATTTTTAGAATTTTCTTCGTCAACTGATACATCTAAAGTATTTAATTTTATACTTTTATCTTTCAATTCACGATTCTGATAAGATTCTGTAACTGGATCACGATGGTTATTATCAATTTTAGGAATTGTATGTAGTTTCAAATTGGATAGCTAAAAAAATAAATAATTACATTTATTATATTAAAAATTCATATCACAAGGATTGGGTTATAAAATCAAATTTTCTAATAAAATTCTCAAATAAAAATTCTAATTTGAAACAAAATTAAAAATTATTTTTACCGCTTTTTTTTTAGAGCCAAGTTCTTGGACAAGACGTTCAATTTCGACTTTGGTATCATCCAATGATTTTGATATGTTAACTTTAGACATACGTAAATCAGTACTTTTTTCATTGCCATCATCAATTTCTTTTTGTAATTTCTCAATATGTATTCTTTGTTTCTTTAAATCTTCCTATAAAAAAGAAAAAAAAAACGGACTATAAATAAAGTTATTTCAATAATTTAATACTATTATAATTATATTTAATACCAATAGTTAATGTACGGTATTCGGACATTTGACACCGGTGGTTTTGTCTATATCAGACTTTTTGCACCCAATATTTTTAGAACATGGACATTTGACACTGAGTGATTACAATTACGATAACCACGAGTAGGTGCCTACTACCTAGAGCCTATAGTTATTAGTTACTATTTAGTGTCTGTACTCTGTAGTGGGGCTGCTTGATTGTTTCAATTAATCGAAACATCGAAATGCAAAAAAAAAAAAAAAATCAAAATTATTATGTTTATTATCTAAAGGCTAAACTGCTTAAGTTAACATTTAGTTGACAGGTGCAAAGAGACAATTGTTACGCTTGTAGGTAAGGATATAAATAAATGTAGACATGGATCTTAACGTTTCATTTAGGGACATTTATATTAATTAAAGCAAGAATATTAATTAAGACAGTCTGGAATTTATTAGCAGTTATTATATAATAACTTACTATAAGTCTATAACTAACTATTATGATATTTGCTAAATAGATAGATAAGGATATATTTTAATTTTAATACAAGTGTCGTAAGTTTTACTAGTTTTAGTCTTTAAAATTTTAAATACATTTCCTATAATAGTAGCATAAGTTATAACTACAAATTAGAGCCCTTTCATCAAAATTGTTAACCTATCTACACAAGATTACAATTTCAGTTTTTGGCACTACTTTAGATCTTAAAATGTATGTCACTACAGATCCTTAGTTATGTCATATTCTTAGCACCCCATTTAAATTCCTATGGGCCTGCCTCTGCCCATAGGTATCAATTTATTTGTTACTAAATATATATGAGGCCCTGGGGTCTGGGCAAGTGACCCGTTTGCACTGCCCTCGTATAGCATACGCAGTGATAAATTATCCATCATCATTCTAATCACCAAACAGAATATCCTTTATACTTCTTAATTCTTAACATTTCAACAGTATATTAAATTTTAATCTAACGATAAACTTTTGCATTTTTCTTTAATGAGTTAACCAATAACCTTAAACCTGGGCACCCGGCAGGAAATATAATAGAGCTATACTTAAACTAGGTAAACCGTTAAACTTTTATCGATATTTGATTTTAATTGATTAATCGATTGTTTTAATAGATTAATCGATAGGTTTTTGACTATTTCAACAATCGAGCACTCCTTAATGAAAATCTTCAATTAATCGAAATTTTCGATTATTTAATACTTTAGGCAATCGATTATATTTTATAACAATCGAACAACCCTACTCTGTAGTGTTTGTTATCCAACCATTTTAACAGTTTAATTTAAAAGTTATTCATTTAATATGAACTCAAAATGTTCAATAGATGAAATTGAAATAATACAAAATTAATTATTAATAATTATATTTATGTTTTTCAAAAAGAAATGGATGATGAACTAGATCATTATAAAGGTAGTATAATGATAAATTCATCCAAAACCAAAATTTTAAAATATCAACATTCTCATAATGTATGCATATATTATATGCAATCATACATTAAATTTTAATACAATAAGCTTATACATTGATTGTTAATTATTATACTGTATCATATTATATGCATTTATATTCGGTGTCAATTTTCCTATTATTGGGTATCATGTTACAGGTGTCAAATGTCCTAGATTCTTGATATACATGTATGTCTAACAAAATTACGACAAAATAATAGTCTAAATTCAAACCTCAATAAATTAAATAGTTTAAAAATGAATTGATTATTTTGACTATTTTTAGTCCTATTATAAATTAATAATAACTAGAGCCTAGAAGCTCATGCATTAGAATATTTTTACTGAGTTCACCAAAATTGCGGAAAAGTCAATCCCTGAAGTTCAAAAATGCAATTTTTAGTAGATTTAAAACACGAGTTTCTTAGCCATTATCTATAATTCAAAATAAAATTATTAAATGATTAACCACCCTTACTGATATCTTTTATTTTTACTTTATCATAATTTACATTCAGTTAAACTGTTATCAATAGGTGCAGTGAAATATTTGCAATATGTCACAAAATTACACAAATTAAAAAAGATTAATTATAGTTTAACAATATTTTAAAAAAATTTATATTATACTATACAAGAAATGTTAATTCCAACATTTTACTAACCTCCATTTCTTCATCTAGTTCATTAGATTGTGCTAATTTTTCATTTAATTCTATTAATTGATTTTTCAAAGTTTGTTCTTGATTTTTAGCTTTATTAATACGGTCTTTTAAAGTTTCAATTTGATTTTTTGAAATTTTTACTTGTCTGTAATAAAATACAATAATAAAATACAAAATACAAAAAACAAAGTAAAATAATAAATTTTAATTAACAGAACATGGAACTTTAGGACTGGTATAATTTATTTCCTAAATAACCCAAACAACCTACTAAAAATTTAAAATTTAAATTAAATTTTCAAATAATTGAATAAATGCCAACTAAGAAATATCAAATGGTTTACACATAACTAGCTAAAAATTACCAACTATTGAAATCCTATTGCTAATTATTTCATTATTAATTAAATTAATTATTAAAATAATGTTAAATTAAATGAAAATATTTTCACTGGTGATGTTTAATTTTATTATTTATTCAATGTTTATAAATTTGTATTATTTAATATTTACATAATTTATATCACTTCCTTTTGAGCTTCTTATTTAGTATTAAACTTACAATAGATAAAATTGTTGAATATTTATTACCAACGAATATTTAACAAATATAGATGTAAATAAGATTTGTTAAAAAAAAAAACTACTTATTATTATAATTTTTTTATAATTATTAACATTTTATAAGTTGTGTATTGCAAATTAATACATTTATGGTTATTAAATACAAAAAAATAACTAAACAACAATAATTTATTAAAATTGTATTTTATGTAATGTTTTGAGAGTTGTATACCATATATGGATCAAAAATAAAAACTGAGTTAAAAACAGCGAAGGGTTGATTATAAATTAATCAGCTAAGAATTGTTTTTTAAAAAGATCATGATAATTAAAACTTAAAAATAATACTTCTATCCACATATTTTACTTACATATTCTACTTTATTCTATACAGTAAAATATAATTATTACACATTTCAAATATTTTAATAACTTTACAAAAATATTATTAAAATAAAATAAAATTATTCACCTATGCGCAGCTTGTATATTAACGTTGATTTGATTAATTGCACAACGAGTCTTATCTAATTTATCGGTTGCTTCATCAAGCAAAAGTTTAGCTTCTTTAGGTTCACCTTCAGTTATTAATTCAATTTTTTTCTTTATAGCATCTACTTTAGATTTCACCACATTATATTCTTCAATCGCCACATTCAATTCTAAAATATCAAGATTATTTTTATTGTAAATTAGTGATGGGTCGAACTGTTCGAATCTCGAATTGAACCTTTGATGTTCGGTTCGGTTCGAAATTCGAACTCGGTATGAATAAAAAATCGAACCAAACTATCAAACATCTTTTACTGTTTGAAAATCGGACTTGAAAATATTTGTCGAACCAGACTTATTGGCCACGATAGTTCGAAAACCAAATATTTGTAAGATTCTTCAAAAGTTATTTTTGAAAAATAAAAATTGATAATGATTATTTATAAATAATTAGACTATTGTCAATTTAACATCAATTGATTTATTTTAGGCATCATTTGACAGGAATAGCATAGCCAATATGATATCCAACATCCGGAACGGATAGGAACTTATAGAAGGACTATTGGCGATAGAAAGTGATATTCTGGCACATTATGCATTATTTATAATAATAATGTTATTTTTCCAATCGCATGTTACACATCCACTCTCCGCCGACCAAAACATTAATAAGTTGTTTATTGCCAATTGAGGCAGTGTATCTACATTCATAAATTAGCTAATTTTGTTTTTATCATATTTATTATAGAAGTTAAAATCTATTTTGGGTAAATCCATGGTAATATTCCGATACCACGACTGTGCTGTTAATAAAAACATGTTTACAACTTACTTCTTACATTATAAATTCTACTAATCGTTCTATATTTGTGAATTATAGTTATTATTACGATTTTTTTTATATATTATTAAAATGTACTGATTGAACTGTCATATTACACTCAATACTTAATACTCAATGAATATTTTATAAGCTACAAGACAACACGAGAGAGCATAATACTGGTTTTGAAAAATAATAACAATAATAAGAAATTATCTAAAATTTAATTGTATTATAAATAATACAATTACTTAAAAACACTTAAAAGTTAAAATATAGAATAGGTAATACGAAAACTTAAAATACAATAGTAATTAATAATTATGGTTGATTTAATTTGTAGGTAGGTACAATGTACATGATAAAAAGTATTGAGTTCAAATTCAAGTTTGACTTAAAATCATAATAGGTTCGGTTCGATAGAAAATATAAAGGTTCGGTTCAGTTTGAGTTCAGAAAAATAATTTAAAGTTCGGTTCGATTTCAAAAATCAGGGTTCGACCCATCACTATTATAAATATATTGTTTAATTAATACACAATATAATACTTATCACTACACATTAATTTATGTTTTAAAATTTTATTATACATCTAGAAACAATATAATAGAATGTTTATTTTAAATGTTTAAATTATAAGATAACAACTTTATTTATAATTTAATTAAAAATTAAAATATATCATAAATATTATAATAAAATAGTATTCACTTAAAATTCAATGTTTATAAGAATCAATCACTAGTAGTGATAAAAAATGTCAATAATGGAACACAGTTCCAAAATTAGTGCATATTATGCTGTTTACTAAGTGCAAATTTTCAATTATAGCGATCAAAAATATTTAGTCATATCCGAAATAGAATCACATAATAAATACACAAAAGAGATAAAATATTAATTATTCAAATCTAATTAAATTATATGATCCATTTAATGATAAATAAATATATTTGAAAACTTTTGTGTGTTTCTTATCAATAAATATTGTTACACTGTAATTTTACATGTCAAGTTGACCACAGTTTGTTTTCATTAGTTGTTAAGTGAGTTTATCATATTGTTATAGCTAGCAAATAAAAACCGTTTTCAGTTCAGAAAAATATATTTCTCCTTGCCAATTAACAAGCTTACAGAGAAAGATGAATCAGAAATTAGCAGTACGGAAATCGTGGAATTCCAGTCAAAATTGAACAAGTTACTGAAATCACACAATGAAAAAAGTGCATACACAGACTCAAAAAATAGAAAACATAAATGTAAGAGCAAAAGACAACCAATGTAGTTCTTTTTATATGGCAAGATAGCACTTTAAATTCTTCCATAAATCATAGCATATTAATGATGAAAACAAATAAAACGGTTAAAAAAAATTAAGAAAATGACTTTGAAGCAACAGATATTTGATAGACTACTATTGGTAGACTTTGTAAAATAAAAATGGAACTTATTGGATTAAAGGAACAGTGATGATTTCTTATAAAACATGAAACTGCGTTTAGATACACATTATAATAAATACTTTACCTTCTTCAGCTTTTTTAATATCAGATTTTTTGTTGGCAACAACAATTGGATTGGTTTTTTTTTCAATAGCAATTTTTTTTTGAGTTAAAATTAAGTTTTTCAATTGAATTTCTTTTTCTTTCCATGCCTGAAATTCAAAAAATTGGAAACTCTTCTAAATTTTTTATCTAAAATAAAATACCTTACATTTATATGTGAAGAACACTGTCTAACAACTTTATTAAGTTCATCAATTTGTCCATGATAGTTCTGAACATTAAGTTGCAAATCAAAAATTTTGGATTGTGTTTCCCTCAATTTAATCTCCAAATCTTGAATAATCTTGTCTAATTTTTCTACGTCATTTTGACTTACTAAATGTGTATTTCCACCAGCAAGTTTAGATTTAGTTTCTTGAGGTCCAATCTTACCTTTATTGGGTCTACCACCACCAGACATAATACCTAATAAAATCAAAATGTAATAAATTATTTTCAAATGTTTTATAATCACATACCTGATTGATCAATTAAATCGCCTTTATAAGTAACAACTCTGTATCGAGTTTGAGTACCAAATGCTATTCTTCTTGCTTGTTCTAAATCTTCAGCAAGTAATGTATCATATACACCAGAGTAAAATGTTAATCTAAAACGTTGATCTAATATTTGTATGTAATCAAAAATTCTTTTTGAATTTTCCGGACTAATAAAAATTAAACAATAAAACAAACTATTATCATTTAAATTAATATTTAGTATTAAGTTCAAATTGTTGTTAAATACACAATTGAAGGGATAAGTATAATTGACAATTTAATCAATAAAACATACTAACTGTTCAAAAATAAATTCTTAATAATTAATAAATAATTATATATTTTAATTACATTTAATGACTGGATTAAATTATCAAAAATATATTTAATATTAAACATATAGGTATTTATACATATTATCTTTAATTACATGCATATGAATAGAACTGGTCATATTTGGCAACTTTATATTGTAAATTAGTATATTATATTAGTATGGACCAATACAATTTCGCAGTTAATCTATTTTAATAAATAGTATTTTAAGACATTTTTTATAGAGAATCAAAGACTTCTATTTAACTTTTAATGTCACAAAATGTTATAAATAAATGTTATTTATATTGTTTTATTAATTAACTAATGATTTTAACTGTAGTTTTTAATTAAATTAATTTTAAAAACAATAAATATTTAAATACTTCAAAATGTACTTCATTTACTTACTAATTATTTTTTGCATCTGCAAGTGGTTTCAATTTTTGAATTTGAGGTAAAACCGAAAATGTCAGTCGACCAACATTATTTTCTTTTAACATTTTAATACATGCTTGAGCAGCTTCAGCTGTTTCAACAACAATCTGATCTGTAGATCCACAAGCTGTACAGGCAGGAATATCATATTTACCTTCAACCTGACCATAATCTCCCTATAAATAAAAATTATTTTAAATAGTATTGCATTTTTAATACATTACTAAAAGCTACTTACACATCTACCAAGAATTCCACTGATTTTTCCTTCATCTTTTAATTTTAAGGTGTATAAAATTGGTCGACTTCTTCCAGTTGTTTCTGCATAAGCTGTTTTTTTTTCTGTTAAACTCTGTCGTATAGTTTGTAATTTAGTTTTTATTTGTTCCTCATTAATCTTCAACTCTTCAATATTTCTTTCCAAGTCTTTAATTGAACTTTTACAATTTAATATAGCTGTTTCTGAATTTTCTTTACTCCTATAAAAAAACAACCATACAATTTTTAAATATTTTTCATTAAATTTAACAATTAATTATGTGTTACCTTTCATTTTCTTGAAATTCATTAGTTCCTTTACTTAAATCTTCTTCCAATTTAAGTAATTTTTCATTTTCAGATTTTTCCGAATCTAAAAGTACTTCGAACTCAGTGTTTAAAGTTTGAAGCTAAATTTTAAAATTCATAATCCATCATTAAAATAAAAAACCAATAAAAAAGATAAGTTGAAATTGTTATAATGATATATACACCAATTTGAAATTTAAATACAATTTATAGGGCAGTTAAAGTATAATAAAAATTATACAAGATATGAACAAAAAAACAAAATTAGAACTAGTACAATACAACTATAAAAATTTATTTGTACAAGTAATGTGAAATAAATCTGGATTATCCGAAAATCAGGATCTAGGATTTTTATATTTGATTTTGGGTTATAAAATTCTAATCAGATTATTAAATTTTTCTTATAAAACCTAAATTATTTCACTATATACTAACTAATCTATTAAATATCTAGTTAACTTATTCTAGTTATAATCAATGTATATATATAAAACCATCCTAATTTTAAAATGTATCATCAATATTTAAATAATTATATAAAGTTAATAAAATACATTATATATTATATAATTACGATATTTAATGTTAGTTTAGTTATTGTTGATTTGTTGTTAGTTTAGAATTTTCAGAATCTGGATTTACAGATTTTCAAATCTGTATTTTAGGACTTCAGAATCTGGTATCTGAATTTACAACAAATTCCGGATTTTGGATTTTCAAACTTCAGCAAATCCGGATTTTTCCTATCATTAATTTGTACAAATATTTTAAAATTGAAATACTTTTATTTACTAAGAATTTGATCGTAAAAACTGTAAACATAGTATTTTTGTACTAAGCAATAACTTTAACTCATGTAAAAAGCAGTACTATTAACTGTATATATTTAAATTTAAGAGCAATTGCTATCTTAAAATTATTTAAAGCAACTTAAATTTTAACTAAGAATATAATAGCATTTGTTTTTAGATTTTAGTTTAGGATAAGAAGTAATTAAAATTATGTATATGTTATTTACTAATTAGCTTAAAAATTATCAATATATGAAAAGACCATTTTATATATTTATTTTTTCTGAATCCCAACGATTAATAAATTGGAAATCAAACATTTTTAAATTATTTTAATTTTAAAATTGTGTAAATTAAAATATACATGATATTTGATGAGAAAATAATCCAAAGTTAAAAAAATATAAATTGAAACTTTCATACTGGGTACAAATTGAAATATTCTGATAAATGTATCACTATAATTTTTAAAAAATATAACTTACTTGATTTTTTTTAATACCAACAAGTTTTTGCAACTTTAACTCTTCTGGTGCTAATGCATCTTTTTCTTCTCTGAATTTTTTTGATTTTTCAAATCCACTAGAATTTATTTTTGTATAATTTGCTTCTAATTTTGAGCATTCCTCCTCTAAAGGTACTAATTGAGATTGCAATTTTTTAAGTTCAGCTTCTTTAACTATTGGTAAATCTTCAGCTTTAGCAATCTAAACAAAATTATTTATAAATACTTAACACAAACTAAAAAGTTATATATAATTAAAACGTAAGAAATTCAAGGTTTTATTTTATGAATAAAAGCTGTGTATTAAGCTAATTATGCTATATTAGGTCAGATTCAGAATTGGGAAGAAACAAATTTATTTTTAGAAAAAAAATTAGGAAGTTTTTTTTTTTTTTTATAAACAGAAATTTTTATTGGGGATTATAAATAAAATTCTTGTTTCATTAATTTTATTCAAAGGAATATATCCATTATTTTTTAAATATTTATATCCACTAAACACATTTTTTGTATCAGAAAATAAGATTTTAGATATAATCTAAGTGCAAGATTAAATGAAAAGAGACCAAGCATTATGTATTTTGTTTATTTCAATAAATGGTAAGGACCAAATGAGACATAATATAATAAACTCATCTTAATTTATCATGGTAAAACTTATACTTAAAATACATAAAAAAATATAATAATATTGTTTTCTCAACCATACCTTTTTTTTTTCCTGTGTAATAGAATTTTCATATTGTTTAATCTCCTTTACATTATTATTTAGAGAATTTGTAACCTTAAAAACTTGATCAGATAATTTTTTATGTTTCTTTTTATGTTCTGTATGTTTTTTAGTATTATCCTTTAATTTTCTAAAAAAAAAAAAAATTACTTAAACAGACTCTGAAGTATGAATTAAATAATGAAATTTACTATTCGTCTCAAAAAAAATAAATACCTTCTTACAATACAAATTTATTCTATATAAATTATATAGTATTTATAAAATCTAGATTATAACCTATTTATTATGAAAATTTAAATCTATAATTTTATTTAGATTTATTAAATTTTTGTAAAATACCTACTGTTTTTTTTATAAGCATACAATAACTAGAAACAAAATGAAAAAATATAAAATACATGGTAATCAGTAAAATTATATTATACTAGATTAATATTATGTATAATTAAAATTTCAAAGAAAGCATCCCTGTTCAACCATGGTTTCAATTCCTTAAGAGAACGTCATACCAGCATATGTTATCTCCGTCTGACATACGTAAAACAGCAAATTTGTGTTCACCGATTCAAATATAGTAATGTTAGCTTTAATATTAGTGTAAACTGATATATAATCAAACTTTAGGGGAAGAACATTATCTGTGTTTTGTTGATCTGTTTTTTCGAATATTTTAATTTTTAAACGTGTTACGAGTATGAAAAATATAATTAAAAAACATCATAACTCACTAAAAAATTTAAATATCGGAAAAAACCGACAACAAAACACAGATAATGTTCTTCCCTTAAAGTTTGATCTTAGGTCAGTTTACACTAATATTAAAGCTAACATTACTACATTTGAATCGGTGAACACAAATTTGCTGTTTTACGTATGTCAGGCGGAAATAACATATGCAGGTATGACGTTCTCTTAAGCTGAGTCGCGCTGCCATAATCAAACACACCAGATTACTCACTAGTCACAGCCTAATGCCACACCACTCATTTAAATTGGGACTCAACAATAGTACACATTGTCTTCTACCCAACTGTGGTGGAAATTACTGTGACTTCCAACACCTTCTCATTAACTATCCATCTCTCTCCACCCAAAGAACCCAGTCAAAGACTTTTTTCCACTTTTAGTATTAACTTTTCTCTCTTTGACACTCTAACAACTAACAATGATAAGGTAATTATAATTATACATACGATTAATTTTATACTTCAATCAGATCTCCGAAATTTAAGAGTGTGAGCTTTACCAAATCAAATTATATTTAAACATCAATGTTCATAATTGTTGGGATATTATAATTTTATGTTAAAATCCCATTAATAAAAAAAGAAATATAAAATAAAGAAATCAATAAAACAATATGACATTTTTGCTTCTTAACCATAACAGGCCTAATAATACCATTATTTATAACTTATACAGTATTCATTAAATAAATTCGACTTACTCATTAAAACCATCGACTGTTTCTTGTTTATTTTTTTTACTCTCCTCAATAATTGCAACCTCATTCTCAATATTAGTTAATTCTTCTTCGATCTTGGTCAGTTTTTCAGTTTTAGTTTTTAATTTTTTATTTATTTTATACCTAATAAACATAAAACATAAGCGAATAAATACAAATAAAAAATGATTAACTAAATAATAAGACGATTATAAATATATAAATAATTGAGGCATTGACATGGAAAAGGTACAAAATTGAAAAAAATCAATTTTTCATTTTTTTGTTGAAAATGGATTAAATACATATGTCAATGGCATGGTAAAGGAACTAACTCAAATTTCTTTATATATTAGGAATTACATTGAATACAAGATGACGTTAGTCGTGAGTCATTATGGTTTGGCTTGGAAACGATACCAAGTCATCTTACGAATTCATCAATGTATAATATTGTTTTCTTTGATACAAACATTGTTATCAACTATCGTCTAATATGATTTATGACAATTCAATTAGAAATTAAATTAGAAAAGAAGGTTCAAAAAATACGCAAAACAGTTTTTTTTCCTTCTCCTGTCAAATTTGGGTTTTATGACTTAGTACCTTTTCCATGCCAACACCTCAATTATTATACAGAATTTAAATTGAAATCAACTTACATTTCGAATTGATATGTTTTATTCATAAGCCAAGTTTTTCGGTTTTCTAACTTTAAAAATCTAATACAATTTTCAACTGGTTCCAAAAGTTCTTCTCTTTCTTTTGCAACAAACTTTAAACGAGTTATTTTCTCAGTTTTTTCCGCTGATAATTCTTTCACTTTTTCTTCAAGTTTAATAATTGGTTTCTAAAATCCAACATTGTATTTAAAAATTGTAATATAATACATATACAAGTATAAATAAATAACTATTTAAAACTTTAAACATTATTCAAATTATTCTAAATTTAAGAATTTTTAATTTTATAGAAATCTTATAGATCTTATAGAAAAAAACAAAAATTAAGAATTATATTACTTTAATTTAATTTAAAAAACAAGGTGATAAATATTTAAAATTTAATTTTAACAAATAAATTTGTATTCGATACCTAAACAAATTTACAATTAAAAAATGACATAAATAATTTAATCCATTATATGATGAAAAATATTTTCAATTGAAACTATTCATTATTAACTAACCTTGTATCTTACAGTACCAATGATATCTTCTAAATATTCTAACATGCCAGTCGAATGTTCATTTTCAGCTTTTGGTTTCATCATTGCAATTTGTTCGACCTCACCCTAGTACCATAAACAACATAATTTATCATTTGTTTGGTCTAATAGATTTTTATAGGTATTTCATCAAATTTACCTGGAGGATAAGAAATCGATTATGAATTAAATCTATTCCATTTTTCTTTAAAATAGTTGCTATTTCTTTAAATTTTACACGTTTGTTATTTAAAGTATAAAACGATGTATTGTCTTTAAATGCTGTACGAGTGATAGTTATTTCAGATCCTGGAATAGCAATAAAACCAAGATCTTGAGTATCCTAAAAAAAAATAATTATCAAATTAAATAAATACAATTTGTAGTCTTAGGGATATACTAATCTTATGATCTTGTGTTTTTATTCCAGTTCAAAATTCTGAATCAAAAAACAAATTCTGAACGAAGGTTAGTTAGTATATACATAAATATTAATGTCACTTCTTTAGAACTAAGTAAGATAGCTTAAAATTAGATCTGCATTATAAAATCACTAATAAACACCAAGCAATTTGTTTTATAAACCTAAATATAAATATTTGTGGACTTAAATTAAATATAAATAAATTGTAATTTTTATATTAAGCTTGGAAAAACAAAAGATTATACTTATATTTTTTTTTAAATACAATTTTTTTATTTAAAATGTATATTTTAGTAAACTTTCAATGCAGATTATATTAGTATTTTAAATGTGATTAAATAAAAATTGCAAAGCTTATACAATTTTGCTTCGCTCAGAATTAATAATTAAACATCAATATAAATAAACAATTACATCATCATGAATATGCACAAAATTTACAGTGACTGAACATTGGTGAACATCTTTATGTTTGTCTGACTTATGTAGGAGTACAGATACTTTTTTTGATCTTATTTTTGTAGATCGATATCCAAACACGAAGAGTAAAGAATCAATAACATTACTCTTTCCACTTCCATTTGCACCAACAATGCTTGTTAAACTCTGTAAAAAATGTCATAGTTTAAAAGTGACAAATCAATTAATAATTTTTTTTAGAAAACTATAGATGAACCTCTATTTATTTACCAAGATTAAATCAATAAAAACACAATATTTTTTATAAATGTCTAATTAAAATATTGTAATATATTTTTTCTTTTTAAGCTATAACTAAAAATGTGTACATTTATATACTTTAATTAAATATTGATGTATAACATAAGATAATGAATATCGTTAATCACTTTCTATGATTGAAAACTACAGTTAAAACCTTAAGATGAATAGAAAATTATTTAAATCCATCATGTTATACAGTTGACACAGAGACTTACACAGGGATTTACACATGTCAGTATCATCGTCATAAGTTTATTATTAAATAGCATAGTTATATATTGTATGGGTAAACTTTTAAATTTTAATATAAAGTTTTATTAATTGAACAAATTAAATCATAAAAAAAATTCCATAAAACCTATTGTCATTCAGTAAGTAGTTAAATGTATGTATAAATAAAATTAAAAAAGGTAAAGGTACTATAGTATTAAATATATTTTAGGAGAATATAATAATAGAAATTCTATAATAAGTGATTTGAGTATTATTTATACAAACAATTAGTTTATAAATTGTAAATTGTTTTATGTCCCGTTCCCTAACCTGTAGGTACTGTAAAACGATTCACATTAAATAACAAATTAGTGTATATATATGTATGTATTATATAGAAATTGAAAAAAAATAAATTAAGGTAGTTCAATAAATAATAAAAATATATAATATAATATAGGTATAATAATATATAATAAATATATATATAAATAAAAATATAAAAATATATTCTTTAAAGGAACTCGATTAACCTGGCATTTTTGTAATCCGACAGTCCTCAGGTCTAATATCTATCTGATTATTAGAAGTCTACTGTATAAATATTAGTTTAAAGTTAGAAACAAATGTCCATTTAAAATACGTCTTAAGTATTAACATACTCAAAAAGTACAGATAAATGAATAGTTATGAAATAGCCAAAATACCTTATGAAACGGTCCAATATCAACTTCTCCATAATAACTCTTAAAATTATTAGCCACTATGTTCTTAATGACCATACGTGGGCCAGCATTTTCTTCTGCTGATACAATGGGAGGTAACTCCAACGGTATTCGGATGCCGTTGAATATCTCGTTCTCTTCAATATCGGACAAGTCTTCATCGTCAGAAAAATCACCAACTTTTTCTTGCCTGATCCTTTTTGTTTTGGCCTGTGAACTTTGGCCATGGTCTAGATCTTTTCTTTTTGACGCCATTGCGATATTTTGTTCAAACTAAATAATCATACAAATATTTAAATGACTGTTTACATTCTTATCAATCACCAACGGAAAATATCTAAATTTAAGAACTCAAACTGTTGTTTGAAATATATACATATAAATACAAATATATATATATATATATATATTTAATAATATATATAAATAATTTAATACTTATTAAAGATTAGCCATCAATAATGAATCTAAATTTCCTTAAACAATTGAAGGTTTAACAAGAAATGGCGGTTAAAAGTTATCTAATACGTCACTGGAATTCTGATTCTTTTATTCCCCATTACTATTGTTACCAACCACGATTAAATATATCTATAATCGTGTTACCAACTTATAAAATAATTAACATTAATTATTTTTTAATGTTTGATCATATGTTTTTAACATAATTAAGATAGATACTATTTTAAACCATGATTTTTCTGTAGATCTAGTATGGGTCTGTATCATAGAATATATGAAAAATTTCATAAGTTCATTGTCTGTATGTCATAAAAAAAAGATTATGTATGTCCTTAGATCACATACATGGAGCCATACCCTATCTTGCCTGTGTAAACAATTTGAAGCACATACATATATAAGCGACGAGTCTCTCGTTGAGATATGTTATCTACGCATGCGTGAGTATGCTCGTCGCATATCTATTCTATTTATTTACCTTGGAAATTCATGAGTGATAACTAGGGTCCGGAATTATATACATTTGCATATTTTTATATATTAAACTAAAGAGTAGCTAGGTAAGTAAGACAGAAAATTGAATCTTAACCTAAAGTGTTGGTATGCGAAATTAAATTTGGCATATTTTTGCATATTTGGAACATTTTAAATTATTATGCATATTTTAGCAATTTTCTGAAATATAATGCATATATAGAAAAAAATATTATGAAGTTATTAATATTATTATTTATTACTTGGCGCATGTTCATCGTAAATTCCGTGAATCGTGCAGTTATATAATTTGATTTTTGTATATTTTGATAATAAGATAAGATAAAGTTTGATATAAGTACCAATATAATAGTAACTCTCCAGGTAACTTAAAAAATATTATAAAAATCCCCTTGATTTGTTTAAATTGATTTTTGTTTGTGAATGTTTGTTTAGATGAGTGAGTGTTAAAATAAAATTTCATTTCAATACAACATACAGTTCCATACAATTCAATAAAATATATAAAATACAGTTGATATATTTTAAAGAATATTTTTTGTTGAATATTAATTATTTAATGAATTGTATATATTTTAAAATTAAATTAATAAATAATAAACATGCATTTTTGTTTGCATATTTTCGCATATTTTTGCATATTTTAAGAACCATTGCATAAATGCATGCATATTTCATACGTTTTTAGTGCATATAATTCCGGGCCCTAGTGATAACTATAAAACTAAAAATATTTGAATATTAAATACAACATTTATTTATAAAATAAATATGTGACGAGTATACTCACGGATGCGTAGATAAGGCATCTCAACAAGACTCTTCGCGTATATGTGCTTCAAATTGTTTACACAGGCAAGATAGGGTTTGGCTCAATTCATAGTGATTCATATGATCTAAGATCTGTCTCTTCGCAGTCGACTAGAGCACCATGTTGTCATTTTGTTATTATCACCCAAAATGTTTTATTAAAATATATAATTAATACATAAATATATATTATTAATCACATCCATATTATTAATAAACGAAATATATAAATTTAAATTAAATTCTCCATGTCCACATGTAAAGTGATTGGTACATATTTCGAAATTTTAAACATCAACAAACTAGTAAATTTAAATAAATACTTATTTTGAAAATTACCTCTAATTATTTTGACAATAAGACTTTATAGTCCGTATTATCTTTACAACCACATATGAAATATTACCAATGTTTGTTCAATTTTGTAGTTTAACTAGTAAGCATTAAATAATTAGAATGGAATATTCCATTATTAATACTTATATATTTTAGTTATATTTTTCTTTTAGTCCCCAAATAAGCTAAGACTTTTTAATCTGTTCAAATCATTTTCTAATTATTTTTATTAAAATGAACAACACTAAGTATTTTATTTTTCTTGAAAAAGTTTTAGTAAAATCATCTAAAATTCATAAAACTTCCATTCAATGGCAAACAAATAATTTTAAATCATTCTCAAAAAATGTATTTGAATTAGGTTTTAGTTTTGTTGTAGCCAAACCAATACAATATGATGGTAATTGATAAAAAATGTGTATATATTTGTAAGTAAAGGTTGAAATGATTTTTAAATTATAAAATATTAACAATAAAATAAGTCGACAGGAGAAAATTGTAAGTACAGGTATTCACTTGTACGTGAAGAATTCCCAATTCAATTCATGTCCGTTTTTAATTAATGTGCATGTTTATTATGAATGTGTAAACGAATTCTATATACAGACGATATAGTCTTGATGGCAGAAAGCAAAGATAAACTCAAAGAACAATCAAAACAACTCATAAATGCTGCTAAACGTGTATGCCTAGAGATTAACGCAGAGAAAACTGAGTATATGGTCGTGCAAAGACATGAACAAAAAAGCTGTCGTAACGAGGTCCTGGAAGTCGAAAACTACAAATTCAAAAGAGTGCAGCAGTTCAAATACCTTGGCACACTAATTACACAGCAGAATGAAATAGGTACGGAAATAAAAGCAAGATTACAAGCTGCCAATAAATGTTATTTTGGCCTGACAAAGTTATTAAAATCTAGAGTAATCTCGAAAAATCTGAAGTCCAAATATACCAGACACTTATCAAGCCAGTGGTGACATATGGGTCAGAAACTTGGACCATGAGGAAAAACGACAAAAATGCTCTTTTAGTGTTTGAAAGAAAGGTACTGAGAAAAATCTATGGACCATGTAAAGACGAACATACAGGTGAATGGAGAATACGTAAAAACAAGGAACTTCAGGATTTGTATCAAAGACCAAGCATTAAAGAAGATATCACCAAAAGAAGACTGAAGTGGGCAGGACATTCTTGGAGAAAAACAGGGTCGTTGATAAAAATAGTACAAGAGAATGCACCAAAAGGAAAACGACCACTTGGAAGGCCGAGGTTACGCTGGGAAGATAGGATCAAAGAAGACATAGAGAAAGTGAGACCAGGATTGGATTGGAAGGAGTTAGCTTTAGATAGAGAAACTTGGAGACAAATCTGTTGGACGACATGATCTTGAAGGCCGAAGTCATGGAAGAAGAAGAAGAAACTAATTCAAAGACAATTATATAAATGTAATAGCACTATTAATAAGTTTCTACAGTAAAATTATTGATACTGAAAAACATTATTGAAATACCTATATTTTTTTACTTTATTGGCTTTATTTTACTATTTAGTGATAACAACAAAAATAATAACGTAGTGCTCTAATCGACTGCGAACAGACCCATCTAATATTGTCCCTATCAAAGTCTTAGAAGATAATTATTATTTTCTAAGACCGTAGCATAAAGTGTTCAACATTTTAAGTATAAAATTAAAAAAAAAAATAAATAATGAAAAAGGTCTGTAACTCACGAAGGAAAAGTGATTTGAATGAGAACGAAAAAAATTTTAGTTTTAAAAAGAAACATAAAATAAATTTAATTTTATAAAACACCATAGCGAATTTGAATGGCTAGAATATAGTGTACCTATCTTGTTATGCTGTTTTTTGTTTTAATTGTATTTATTTTGCAAAGAATTTATAACCTGAAAATGTAATCAGAATTGAATACAACAATTAAAGAAAAGTATGTTTTTTATTTGTGTATTTATTTATATAAATTAAAAAAATAATTTTTATTTATAAAACATTGGCATACCAAGTGGCATGGATAAAAAAAAAATTTCTGGGAAGGGGTATTTAAGAGTCAATTCATAATATCTTAATATATCTTAATACAAAGTCCTATATAATAATATTACATTTAAAATGATATTATTATGTCTCGTATTTAATGAAAATTATTTTGTTATTCAATTTTTAATATATTCATAATTCTAATTCTAATATTCTAATATATATATACCTCCTAATCTAAGATTGAAATGTAAAATGAAAATATAATTTTACTATAGTATGCAAATATTAATAAATAATAATTAAATATCATTAAAAAAAAATCTGGGAGTTGGAAACCCCTCCCCCGTAACTACGTCACTGTGCATAACGATAAGATGTGGAACAGAAAGAAAATAAGTTAATTAATAAAAAATATGAACCTCTACCTCCATAAATGCATATATTTTTTTACTTATAATGTGGAACTCCAAAGACTTTTTTAGAGGCCGAGTATAGTTAGGGATATTGCCAAACGAAAACTAAGTTAGGCAGGACATGCTTGGCGCAAACAGGGTACTTTAGTAAAACGGGTGATCGAAGAAGACCCTATAGGAAAAATACCACTAGGTAGACCTAGGCTGAGATGGAAAGATGGGGTGAAAAGAGAAGTGGAAAGGATAGAGCCTGGTGTCAAATGGAGAGAAGTAGCGGAGGACAGGGATAAGTGGCAAAATTTATCGTTTTCAGGATGGTCTTAAGGGCCGAAACTAAAGAAGAAGAAGATATTTTTTTACTTTTATTTATTTATTAATTTTTTTAGTTGGTTGAAAAATTGTGAAAACATTCAAAAACTGTTAAAACATTTAAAATCAAATGTTCAGTATAATAACTATAACAGTTCTAAATCGACTGATATATAATAATCAACTGCCAAAAAAAAAAAAAAAAATGAAGTTTTAAAAAATAAATAATATGTAAAAGTACCTACTTATAAATATAACTCTCTTTTATGCCAAACAGGGACTTTGCCAAGAACAATAATTTTTAGATATTTTTAACAGAAAAATTAATTATACAAATTGTATCATTTAAAATAATATACTTGAAGTTTGTTCAAATATGACTATTATTAGTGATATTAAAAACTGTAAATGATGTACATTATGTGTGAAAAAGTAAGGTAATATTATAT